CCCGATTCTCTTCTATTTCAGATCCCTTATCGCAGCAGTTAGCGAGATGACATTTGAAGCAGAGTGGGCCTGTCAGATAGTCCTCCCTTAGGTTTGGTTTTAATCACATGATAGTGTTATAGGAAAGGTAGACGCGGGCTGAGAGTGTCCGCACAAAATTAAAAGCCGTTTCTGCTGCTTTAATTTTAAAACTTTTCTTAGATTGAGAGAGAGAGTTGCCACCGGCGACTAGAATGAAAAAACTAGTCGCAAAATAGAAAATCAAGTCGCATTGGCGACCATTTTAGTCGCCATCTGGAGCCCTGCATATGTGGTGATAATCTTGGTTCCCACTCTGTTGGTGGATTTACAGAAAATTTCAGCAGTAGCAAACACTTTTGTAGGTACTGCTTGATTGACAGAGACAAGTTTGCCAAATCTCCACTGGTACTTGGCCCACAGCATACACTTGCAAATTATAATGACAGCGTTGAACAACTGACCTCTGACCAGAATATAATAGATGGAATCAAATTTGATTCAATTTTCAACTCACTGAAGTCTTTTCATGTCTGCTCTGGACTTCCTCCATGTCTTGGGCATGACCTTTTTGAGGAGGTAGTGGCAAATGATTTGGCCCTGTATATTGAACATTTGGTGAAAGCAGAAAAACATTTCACCTATGGCCAGATAAACCAGGCCATCTCGAACACAAAACTTCATGGCAGTGACTCACACAACAAACCATGTGAAATTAAGGAAAATGCTAAAAAGCTAATTGTTTCAGCCACACAAAATTGGTGTCTCTTACGACTTTTACCAGTTTATGTTGGTAGGTGGATCAAAGACCCTATTGAAAGTGAGGTTTGGCAGTTGTGCATTAAACTAAGAGAAATAGCTGAATTCATTGCTGCTCCAAAAATTGCATACCTGAAAGTTTTGCTAGAGGAATATGTGTATTTACGGAACAGTTTGTTCCCTGACCACCCTCTCAAACCAAAGCATCACTACTTGTTGCATTATCCCAACATTATCCTTAAATTTGGCCCACTAATACGCTTGTGGACACTGAGGTTTGAAAGTAAGCGCTCCTATTTTAAGGAGTGTGCCAGAAAACTTCACAATTTTTTACACTTAAGTAAAACACTAGCAGAAAGACATCAGCTTCTTCAGTCATACTTTGGTTGTGGTCAATTATTCCCATCTCTCATTCAAGTTGCTGGTGAAGCAAATGAAATTGATGAACAGTTATAGAACAGGGATATACAGATGGTGTTAAAGAGAGCTGATATTGACCAACACAAAACCTTAGAGGTTGGTATGAAGGGACCAAGTACACCAAAGGCCTTGTTGTTGTTCTACAGCACACTGGTGACACATTGGTCTTTGGAAAAATATCAATGATACTTACCGATGAGAAACAGGTCCATTTTGTCGTTTTGGTACATCACTCAATTCCATTAGTTGATCTTGGAGTCCACTACCTATGTCAGTCGAATAATAAATATGCAGATATAAATGCAGATAGGTTGCAAGACTATTATCCGCTACCGGTGTACAACATCTTGGACCTCCCTGTTGTTTGCTTACATCATTCTGTGTGTTCTTCATTCTAGGTATGGATGTTGAATGCATTCAGGAAATTCAGAGAGTGCTACCTGAACTGGACTATGAGAGGTTGATGGCTGTTGTTGAACACTTGACATCAGTCGTTGGAGTCACAAAGAAAGAGGACCTTGCCTTTGTTGAGAAGGATGACTTCCAGCATCATTTAACACCAATACAGAGTCGTAAACTTATCCAGGCATTTAGGCAAAGAGGTGAGAAAAAGGCAATATTGAAGACTGTACAAACTGTACTCACTGTGAATAACAAGCTTGATATCTTAAAAGAATTGAATGGTAGGGTGGACACTGTCAACTGCGTGCTGAATGGACAGACAGCACTCTTGTCATCTTTGGACACAGAACTGGCAGATGGACATGCCCACCTAACACCTTCTCAAATACAGTCCCACTTTCCTGGAACACAGACCTCATGGATCAGCCAGTTTGAGATTCCTTGGGGCAAGATGTCCACCAGACTCTCACAGACAATATTAAGAGGGCTAACCCTGCAGACAGAAGAGCCATGGTGAGAACTAGAGCCCGACCGATTTATCGGCAGGCCGATATTATCGGCCGATATTAGGCATTTTCCAAACTATCGGTATCGGCATTTATAATGGCCGATAAATGAATATTTCAAAAATAAAATAAAAACGGACGAAACACCCTTCAACCATGTCATGAGTGTTGGCGTTGTATAGTTAGCATATACTGTTAGCAATTTATATTTTGCTGTTGTTGTTATTTATCAGAACTTAACAGAATTTGTCTCCA